ACAAAATATTTGTTTTTCAACTTTGACAGCTCATTACAAGAAAACCAAGAATGTCACTAATATCAATTAATACTCATTTTATAGATAATTCCATGAGCTTTAATTGGGTTAGTGAATGATTTAAGTGCATATCCTGATTCTTGTGATATACAACAAAATGTAAACACACAGTTTTTCAACTTTGAAAATAAACTACGAAAGTCAAATGTATGATTTTGTGCTTATTTTAAAGCTTGTTTCAGTAATTATTGAATTTAATGATAAATAAGTAAATTATTACCGAAAATCTGCAGGATCGGCCGTTTCCAGCACGTTGTAACCACCAGCATCTCTGTACATCTTCTCATCCCTACTGAAACTCAAACCATCGACCAACTGGAATTCCGGTTGATTATCGAAAAGTTGTATTCTCGATAAAGCATCATAACCGACACAATACGAAAGTGTAGTTGAAGGAGTTCCAGAGGCAAGGCATTCCTTGAAACCATCGATCAAACTCGTCCTTCCTGCATTCAAAGCCGCACGGACAACCACAACTACCATCAAAGAAAACACACCACGAACCATCGACATCTCGAAAACCACTGTAACAAACCACCCACGCATCCTCTCCTTTTATACAGAGCTACGAATTTCATGATTCAGCGATTCACCAAAGAACAACTAACTTTGTGTATTTTTTTCACATTTTTTTCTTTTTAAACAAGTGAAAGTACCTGACAATTGGAGTAAATTCGCGCAGCAAAGAAGTTCTCATAATTATCTCGAAACAATGGATCCATTAGCAAAAAAAAAAGTGGATACGAAATTAGATGAACGTATGGGAAATGAAGGAAGCAGAAGCAATTTCGCAAATTAATTACGCTTTTAATAAACTTCCTTTTTTATTCCTCTTTTTTATCAACGATAAAGCTTATACGTCTGCAATGGTAGGACATAATTGCATTTGATCTCTGTATTTTTTTTTGTGCTTCTCTCATTCTCTTTTGACATGCAAAAGGCCGTATCTATCGATCTTCGTTTCGCTCTTTATTCACGACGACAAAGGCCTTTCTCTTTCTTTGCCCCGTGTGCACTATCTGTACTTCCGGCGGATGAGACACAAATTGAAATTTAAAAGAAGAAAAGTTTTACAACTTTGACAGGTTATTACAGGAAACCCACGAAAGGCACAAATATGACTTTATACACGTTTTATACAATATATTCTTAGCTTCAAAGGGATTGCTGAATTATCTATGTGCTCATCTTAGTCCTCGAGTTGTACAATAGAATATAGAGACACTGCAATTTCTAGGATTACAAAATTATAACGTATACAAACATTGCTTAGATCATTTTTTATACCCTATATTCTTAGCTTTAATAAGATTATTAAATGATCTATATACTTATAGTGGTTTTTGAGATATACCACAAAATGTTTACATATTGATTAAAAAACGTTGAATCAAATTTAACATCTTATTACAGTCAAACCACGACTGTCACAAATATTAAATTTTCTAGTCAATATCCTAAGCTTTAAATGCATTATCGGGATATCCACGAAATATACAAATATGACTATAAACACGTTTTACAAGATACATTCTTAGCTTCAAAGGGATTATTAAATTATTTTTGTGCTTATCTTAGTTCTTGAGTTATACAACAAAATATAAAGACACTACTATTTCTAGGATTATAATAAATTAAACATCATTACAGGAAAACAACAAATGCTACAAACATTACATCAAACATATTTTATAGCCTATTTTATTAGATTCAAACATATTATTAAATGATTTATCTACTTATATTGGTTCTTGAGATATACCACAAAATGTTTAGATATTGCTGAACAATGTTTCGAAATTTACAACTTACAAACCAAGGCTGTCCCAAATATTACTTTAATCACATTTTTTAGTGTATATCTTAACTTTAAATGAATTATCAAAAGATATTTGTGGTCGTCCTGGTTTTTCAGTTATACAACAAAATGTAAATGCATTACTTTTTCCTGGATTAAAAATAAACTTTGACAAACTATAATTGCCACAAATACTATTTAATCACGTTTTAAAGTCTATATTCTTAGCTTTCATCGGATTATTAAAAGATATATGCGCTGGTTTATGAGTTATACAACAATATGAAATGCATTGCCCTGAGAGAAAAAAACACTTTGACAACGCATTACAGACAAACTACAACTGTCACAAATCATCTTTTATTCACGTCAAGATCCTAAGCTTTAAATGGATTATCAGGAAATCCACGAAAGACACAAATATCACTTTATACACGTTTTGTAGGATACTTTCTTAGCTTCAAAGGGATTATCAAATTATCTATGTGATCATCTTAGTTCTTAAGTTATACAACAATATATAAAGACACTACAATCTCTAGGATTATAAAAAATTAAACATCATTACAGGAAAACAACAAATGTTACAAATATTACTTCAAACATCTTTTATAGCCTATTTTTTTAGCTTTAAACACATTATTAAATGATTTATCTACTTATATTGGTTCTTGAGATATACCACAAAATGTTTAGATATTGCTAAACAATGTTTCGAAATTTACAACTTACAAACCAAAGTTGTCCCAAATATTACTTTAATCTCATTTTTTAGTATATATTCTTAGTTTTAAATGGATTATTAAAGGGTATTTGTGCTCATCCTGGTTTTTCAGTTATACAACAAAATGTAAATGCATTACTTTTTCTTGTATTAAAAAAAATCTTTGACTAACTATTACAAACAAACTATAATTGACAGAAATACTATTTTAAACACGTTTTAAAGTCTATATTCTCAACTTTCATCGGATTATTAAAGGATATATGCGGTTGTCCTCGTTTATGAGTTATACAACAAAATTAAATGCATTGCTCTGAGAGAAAAAAACACTTTGACAACGCATTACAGACAAACTACGACTGTCACAAATCATCTTTAAATCACATCAACATTCTAAGCTTTAAATGAATTATCGGGAAATCCACGAAAGACACAAATATCAATTTATACACGTTTTGTAGGATACTTTCTTAGCTTCAAAGGGATTATCAAATTATCTATATGCTCATCTTAGTTCTTAAGTTATACAACAAAATATAAAGACACTACTATTTCTAGAATTATAAAAAGTTGAACATCATTACAGGAAAACAACAAATGTTACAATTATTACTTCAAGCATCTTTTATAGCCTATTTTCTTAGCTTTAAACAGATTATTAAATGATTTATCTACTTATACTAGTTATTGAGATATACCACAAAATGTTTAGATATTGCTGAACAATATTTCGAAATTTACAACTTAGTACATTCAAACCAAGGCTGTCCCAAATATTACTTTAATCACATTTTTTAGTGTATATTCTTAACTTTAAATGGATTATTAAAGAAAATTTGTGCTCATCCTGGTTTTTCAGTTATACAACAAAATGTAAATGCATTACTTTTTCTTGTATTAAAAAAAATCTTTGACAAACTATTACAGACAAACTACAATTGCCACAAATACTATTTTAACCACGTTTTAAAGTTTATATTTTTAGCTTTCATCGGATTATTAAAGGATATATGCGATTGTCCTGGTTTATAAGTTATAACAATTATAATAAAATGAAATGCATTGCTCTCAGAAAAAAAAAACAGTTTGACAACGTATTACAGACAAACCACGACTGTCCCAAATAATCTTTTAATCACGTTTTATAGTCTATATTTTTAGCTTTAATCAGTGTATTGAATGAGATTTGTGCTCATATTGGTTCTTGAGTTATAGAAAAAAATGTTGATCAGTTCAAAATGTTCTCTCATAGAAATTTTCTATTATAATACAATATATTGGAAACAATTAGTGACTTTCATAATTTTCAAAAGAATGGATACTTCGATAAGCATATGCTTTAGGGTTTTTAATTAGTTCTAATGATGTTAACTGTATGACTTGTTGTGTGATGAATGGATCAATGGATTATGTTGGATGAGACGCGATTCTCGTCGATACTCGCACACATTGTAGGTTATAGGATAGGTCAAGAGTACTGTAAATTGGTATGGTTGCACCTCGCCTACATAGTTTCACCTCTCCTTCTCTACCAAAAGCGTCGTGCAAAAGAGAGAAAGAATTCGAACGTTTAGCGGGAAAAATAAACAGCAGTAGCAGCAAATAGAAAATCTATATAAGTGCGCATCTGAGCAGTTCGGGGCCCGATTTATATCCCAGATTCCGTCACCGGATACTACTGTTATACCCATAACCAAACGGGTCCATTACAATAAACTTACGCAGCGTACAAATACCAAACGTTTACAACCGACCAAAGAATCTTTCCAAACGTAGACGAACAAAGAAATTTAAAACTTTCACATCTATCTGCTAAAAAATTCTATAGATTAAATAAAAAAAACATGCGTCATTAGACACAGAAAAATTGAGATGAGCGAAAGAGTTTTTACGTCACAGAAAATGAATAATAGTAATAAAAATTTATTACCATAAAATTATAGACAAATATAATAAAAATTCAACTTTTTTTTTTCACTTTTTACTAAATAATTTAAAATTTGGATTGAAATATTTTATTTAAATTACTAACGTTTCTTTTATGACAATTTTTCAATATTTCATGAAATTAATTTTTTTCAAATAATGTTAATTTTTCAGTTTTCAAATCAATAAAGTAACTTATTCATACATCAATAAAATTAGATGAAAATACATCACAACTTCGTGACTTTACGTAATGGTGTTTGTGGTGTGAACGTGAGACTTCTTCAATTCATGTCCTCTTGTTTCTTTACTTTTCTTTCTTTTTTTATTCTCATGTATTTGTTGTTGTTGTCCATCTTCATCTTCAGCAGTTGTTCATGACCATCGGTTTTTCGCATTACGAAACGGGTTGCACTTTTCCGCGAGACGATAAAACCGGGACCCGTGGTGCCTTTAAGGCCACAGTTCTTCGCGTCCCATCATCGGTGAAGCATGAAGAGGCTACAAGAAGTGGCGATCGTGTGGCTCGTCCTTGCCCTGTGGACCTCAGCCTGCGGATCCAGCGACGACGACGAAGAGGATGATCCTGCAGGATTCGGTTTCGATGTGGACATCATGGAAAGAGTCGTCGATCTGGTGCGCACCTGCAGATCGGATACTATAGGTGTTTGCGTCAAAGTAAGTCAAAGTTTTTAACATCTTTAATCATCTTTTTAGTAATTATTAGCAAATGTATTGTGAATTATTTGCAAAAAAAAGTCATAATGTTTAGCAATTTTTTTTAATTCATAATTAATTTTAAAGAGAATTAACAATTTTTTAGAATTTGTTGCTGAATTTTTATTTTTTACTTTTCATTATTTTAATAGAATCAAAAATAGTCAAAATTTGTACTTGAAAAAGTTTAAAACTATAAAAAATTTTCTTAATTATCTTTACATATTTCATGGTTTACTTAAAGAAAATAAATAATTATATATTATATAATGATGAATTTAATTTTTCATAAAGTTTGTAGCATTTTTTCAAATTTTTATTTCATAAAAATTTCTGAAACTGTAAACTTTTTTATATTATTTTTAAGAATATATAGAGTAAAGATTTATATTTCGCACCTATTGATATAATCATACTTACATAATATTAATTAATGAGCAAAATATGGCAATTTTTCGACTTCTTTTCATGTCTTCACATTTTATTTAATTACTCGATAACTGCGCATGTTAATTAAATTATTTAAAATGCAAAATAAAGATGAAACTATGACCTTTCCAATGAGTATACAAGAATATTTGTGTTCTTTACCAATATTACATTATAAGTTGTCAAATATGAGCAAAAAAACATATAAATATTTTTTTCTGTATTTACTTTTTAATATTTTCAATTGCATAGCATAAAAGTATTTTTGTGGTGTATTTCTATATAAACTTACAAGCTTTCAAAGATGTGTAAAAAAAATACTTTTTTTTTTGTAAATGTTTAAGATATTTAATTTCTGTACTTGTATATAATTATAAAATGGGGGAAAAGTATCAAAGTTAAGTTGGTAATTATGTAAAAATGTAAGCTATTACCATAACAACCCCTAAAACAATGTTTGTTAAGTTATATAAGTGCTTGTGAATTAAACGTCAGTTGACAATGGTTTAATTTAATTAATTAACATTTTCCTTGAAGAGGTTATGGTTTTGGTTCTTCGATTATATGGTAAATATTGAAGTAATAACTGTGTTTTTGGTATGTTCAGGAGAAGGCTTTGAAGTACGTGGATCAACTACCCAGTGATCTGGATTTGGGTGGTGGGGTGAGAGTGCTGCCAACAGATGGCGTCAAGAGATCTTCTCGGTACTTCAGCAAGGACTCTTTACCGAAGGATCCGGTCGCCAGGGAGGAGGTGCTCGACGCCGTCCTCAGCGACAGGATCTTGACCTACTTGAGCTCCCACACCTTCCAGCTAAGCATTCCCGAGACGGCGATCAGGGATTTGAGGCGATCCCTCGGCGACGACGACGTCGTCTTCGTCGACGAAGGTGAGAGCCGTATTCGGGTTAAGAGGTCTTCCGATGATCCTAACGGGCGGACACCTGTCGCCTGTTTCTTCTGGAAAGCGATTAATCCAACAGTTTATTCATTCATTCGCAGCGCGCAAGAAGAAGAAAAAGAAGAAGGGCATTCCGTTAACGCTTCTCCTGCAGCTAAAAGCTGCAGCCATAGGAGCTCTCATCCTCAAAGGCGTCGGTTTTTTAGCGTTAAAAGCGCTCATCCTCGCTAAAATCGCGTTGACTATAGCTTCAGTCATGGCGTTGAAGAAAATTTTAGAAGATAAATCGCACGGTTCATCTACTTATGAAGTCATCTCGCCTCACTCCTACGAAGAGCACGGACACTACGAGAGATCCATCATCGATGATCGTGATTCTTTGCCGTACAAAGGACACCGCTCGGATTCTTAACAACTTCAATGGAAGCTACAATAGTTCTCAGGTTACGTTATTAATAGATCTTCTCACCTTTCTCATCAATAAATACGACACAACACGACACGAAATGCAGATCCTATCTCTCTTTACACATTTGTTTTGACGTCTCATGAATTATCGATGGAATTTGCATATAAATATCATTAGTTAACATACTTATCGAACCGTTAAATAAGTAACCTTTATCGGATTCAGTTGTGAACATGAAACACTACAAGATACAACAAATAGTTTACATTTACAATTAATTTACATTTATTAATTACATCTAATAAGTAAACTACAATTCAAATTAATAAGATTTTAATTAATCACAATTAACAATAAAATTTCATTTGAAATCTGCACGAACATTTTGAAATAAATCAGATTTAGATTATTTTAATTAATTCACATTGAAATCTGCTTGATTTTTATTTAGTTCAATTAAAATAAGAAGACTTTAACAATAAAATTCTATTTAAAATTTACACGAAAATTTTGAACCAAATCAGATTTTTTTAAAAATTCATTTTATTAATTCAATAAAAATAAGAAAATTTTAAATAATTTGTTATGAAATATAAATAGTTATAATTAACATTTAATTAATTAAATTTAAAAACTAAATTTTAGTTAATTTGCAAATTTTGTTTAATTCATTCAAAAAATAAATGTAATAAAAAATAAATGTAATAATTCAAGACAAATTATTAGTTGTTAATTGTTAATAATTAAACTTTTTTTTTAATTTATTAATAAAAAACTCTTGTGAAGACTCACATTTTTTACATAATTATTTACAAATTTTCATATTAATATCTCATTTATTTGTTGTTTGTTTGGAATGTTTTTTTTTAACTAATTGTAATTGTAATTTATTACTAAATAATTGAAAGTAATTGCAAATTGGATATTCTTTGAAATGGATTTATATGAAATTTCAATGGATGTGGTTTGGTGGATGCGCCGGAGCAATTTTGAGACATTTTAACCGAACAATAGCTGCTGTAGTATGCATGAATGCATATGCAAAGTCCTCGATAATCTCGGCGTTGAACGTTATCCTTCGGGACATCCTGAATCCCCCTTCCTCAGTTAAATCTTGCGTAAGCCATGCAATCGCCTCATCAAAGGAAGGAACAATCCATTCGCTCTTCCTTGATCCTAACATTACCTACAAAATATCCATAAAAAAATGAATAGAAAATAGAAAATTTTATTTTATTTTGTGATCAATTTTATCGATGAAGTAAATTTTATTGTATACTTACAAAAAATTCAATTTATTATAAATTTATACTTTAACTTTCCTTTTTAATTTATTAATTTTTGTATTTATTGAGATTTTTGTTTTGATATATTTACAATATTTCAAATCATTGTTTTCTACTGATATTATACATTTAGACAAAAACGAAATACTTTCCAAAAAGAAGTTGTAATTTTTAATTATATATTAGTTTATTTTATTACTTTAATACAAAATCTGATGAAAGTTTCATTAAATATTATAAATAATCTTATAAACTTTCATCAAATTTTATTATTCTTTTTTAAAGGTGTATTTTTTTTTAATTGTATTTTCTCATTAATTGTGCAATATTTGGCATTAAACCAAAAAACAGAAATATTTATATGGTAATTGGTTTATATAGTTGTTTTATTTATTTAGATTACATATATTTTGTTGTTAGTTTAGTATTACGTTTTTATGTTGAAATAGAATAAAAAGTATTATTATAAAATATGTTTTTTTTATAGAGTTTGGTTTCAGGTTTTCCATGTGAAATGAATGAACAAATAAAATTTTACTGTTTTGTTTTTGTTATCATTCATTGTTTTCATTACTTTCTTCTATACTTGGTATATTTTTCCTTGAGTTTTTAACATTTTTCTTATTTTGTAATTTTATATATAAAGTTACAAAAGTTTATAATTTTAATTTATATATTTTGAGATAAAATCATAAGGTTTTAGAAACTTTCCAAAAAAAGGTGTCATTTTTAAATAATTGTTTTATAAATCTGTTAATTATTTTACATAATTAATAGAAGTATGAAAAACAATGATAATTGAAGAAATTTTGACTAAATTCGTAATAATTTTGTCAAAATTACTTTTGTAAAAAGTGTAGTTTTTATTGTGGTCATAATGTATTATTCTTCTGTGTATTTAATTTACAAAACAATCAATATTTATGTGATAATTGGTTTAATGAAACTAAATTTTAGTCAATCTTGTGAATTTTTTAATATTTTTAGTTAACATTTTCATAGTTCGTAATTTATAAAGGGTGTCCCAAAATTAACGCAAGATTTGAATTTGCCGTGATTTCTGCAGTTAAGTGTTGTAAACCCCCAAAAAAAAACAATTTGACAATTAACTGCACAAAGGGCGGTAAATTCAAATCTTGCGTTAATTTTGGGACACCCTATATATGCAAACTTACAAAAAAAATTACAAAACAAATCATATTTCTTATTTTGTGTACAAATATTTATTGGATTGATGGAAATTAATCAAAAAAACATATAAATTACAAATATGTATTTTCAAATAATAATTAACATTTTTTTTATATTTATTGCTTAATTGGAGATCCAATTAATGAGAGTAAATGATGATTTTCCATAAATTTGTGTGTATATTTTGATCGCTCCTATAGAGCAGAGATAATGAGGATGTTGGTTGTACGAATCCACTCGTAACTGCATGCCAGCAATGCGATTTTAATTGGGAATAAAGCAATCCTCATAGGTAAATTAGTTGCGTGGGTGGAAATAACTCGTCGCACGTGAATAATACCTATCAGAACATTAATTAATAAACCCATGACAATGCGAAGCTCACATGCACGAAATGTAGGAGGTACTCGCATACACATGATTGGTCTTTACATCTGCTTTTCAATGGATTACAACACAAAATGAGAAAATCCAGAATTAGAAAAATAATAATTTTCAATAGAAAATTTTAATTGCAACAAAATTTCAAGTTGTTCTTTTGTGACAATACTTACAATTTTGTTTCATCGACGTTTTGTTTTTTATTGTCATTATGTATTGTTTCTATTGAGATTATGTAAGTAAAGTTACTATTTTTAGGTTATTAAATAAATTTTAGAAAATATTCAGTAGAATTTGTATAATGTTATAAAAAAAACCTTACTATTTTGTTTCATCGACATAGTGTTTCTATTGTGGTTATGTAAGAAACGTTACCATTTTTAGGTTATTCAATAAATTTAAAGTCATAAAAGAAACGTTACTAGTTTTGTTTCAACGTCATTTTGTATTAAGGTTATGTAAGTTTCTCATAGTAATTTGGCTCAATTCAAAAGTTACATGAAATATTTTATAAAACAATTTTGAATTTAGCTGAATTATAGGTTTGTCATAAAAGAAACGTTACTATTTTGTTTCATCTGCGTTTTGTTTCTATTGAGGTTATGTAAGTTTTGTATTTTTTACTCATATAGTTTAATTCATTCTATGAATTTCAGTAAATATTTTGTAAAATTTTCATTTATTTGAATTTTCATTAAGTCACAAAAGAAACGTTACTAATTTTTAGTTTATTCAATAAATTTCATAAAATATTCAGCATATTTTATATAAAGTCATAAAAGAAACGTTAGTAATTTTGTTTCAAAGTCATTTTGTATTAAGGTTATGTAAGTTTCTCATAGTAATTTGGCTCAATTCAAAAGTTACATTAAATTAAACAATTTTAGATTCAGCTGAATTATAGATTTGTCATAAAAGAAACGTTACTATTTTGTTTCATATCCGTTTTGTTTCTATTGAGGTTATGTAAGTTTTCTATTTATTACTCATATAGTTTAGGTCATTCAATAAATTCCTGTAAATATTTTATAAAATTTTCATTTAATTGAATATCCATAGTCACATAAGAAACGTTACTATTTTTTAGTTTATTCAATAAATTTCATAAAATTTTCAGCAGAATTAGTATAAAGTCATAATAGAAACGTTACTAATTTTCTTTCAGCGTCATTCTGTAATGAGGTTATGTAAGTTTAACATTTGATCGATTCTAAAATTCCAGTAAAATTTTTATTATTATGAATTATTGATTTTTATGATAAATGTTACTTTTTTGTTTCTATCGAGGTTATGTAAGATTTTATTTGTTACTCATATAATTTAGGTCATTTCTTAACTACTTAACTTAATTGAAAGTTAGTAAAATACATATGTTTTTAAATATTAATTTAGTTCAATTTTTAAGATGTCATAAAAGAAGCGTTACTATTTCGAATTGCCACCATTTTATCTACGTTGAAGTTATGTAAGTTTTTATCTGAAATTCATAAAAAACAAATTATGTATTTTATCCTAAAATGATGTAAATGTTAAAAACGAATTTAGTATTATAATTATATAAAAAAAAGTAAAAATCTAGAATTTATTTTTTTTAAATAATCGTTCAAGCTTTTGTATTAAGAATTATTTAAATAAAGCATTAATTAAGTAAAATTATTAACTTTTGTTAGTTTTCTATGATTAATCAGGAATTTGACTTTTAGTAGCAAAAGTAAGTTAATATTTTGCACTTGGTGTATTAATTATCAAAGGACTTTTTATAAGTTTTCATTTTATTGTGTGTATGTCCTCTAATTGAGGTAAATGCGGTTTCATGCACAAAGCCCAAGCACAAGTGGCTTTCAGTGGAAATGGAACTCTCGTCGTTGGTGATGGTATGCTATTAATTTAACATTTGCACCAATTAGTTTGCATAGTCCACTTGTCGTCCTTTGTACTCAACAAAGACGAATGTTGTCATCTGCATGAATGAGGAATACCTGAGTATTATACACTGAAATACTCATAATATTGTCATTATATAAGAATGTCCTTATTAGTTTTCCCAGTATGAAGTAGTAAAAAACGTAAATTAATAACTTTAAGACAAATTTTAATAATAAATTGTATAAAATTTTTAATAATTTACACAGATTATTTGCACAA